TTACATGTTCTCGCCACTTTAGCTTATACCATGTTAGTCAGTTTTCCTGTTATTTTCAAACACCACATTGGTTAATTTCTTCACATGATTCCACCTACCTTTTTATTTAAACAGTTTAGTTTATTGTTGAATTTATGAAAGCTTTTAAAGTAAACTTTGTATTTTTCTGTACTACGGAGGTACAAAGCGTCTATATTCTTTAATTCTAAGACTGAACAATTTCAATCTGAATGAGTAATCTGTTGTCCGCTATAGCTTCGAAGTCACAGTTCAATCTCATTCCTTTTATACAATCATTTTTGTAAATTTTTGCTGTAAAACTGACTGAGTTCTGAGCACCAAAGAATCCATCTCTACATTTTTTCGCTTTATCTTACTGCTCTACATTTGTTGTTCTCTTCATCCCAGCTTCACTTCTCTTCATAAGATTTTTTCCTTTTTGGATTCCGTGAATTAATTTTTGAATATCACGTTTTTTCGCTATATTGATAGAGGTCATTTGCAAATTTCTTTTGCAGATTTATTATGGATTTCTTGACAATCATTGTATCATATATATTAACACACAAGTGTAGAGAAAAGAATTGTCTAAGTTGCGATGTCTTTGCCAAGTTATGCTGTCTTCACCTGTCTTAGAACCGCTTGTTCTATGTACCAATTTATCTGCAGCTACCCTTATACGGCATCTAGCACTATTGGACAGAATTGTTAAAAAATATATTCTTCATTGATACGATGAATGTCATAAATTTCACGTTTCAGTGAATTAGAATTTTTACCTGTTTGATGAAACCCCAACAGAGAGTTTTACTGCAGTTTCAGCATGACCTACGCTGCTTTCTCTTTCGTTGCTGTGTACGAAACGTAGCTCTTTAACAAAGAATTGGTATAGCTTGGTGTGGACTTCATCACCTGCTACAACTGCGAATTAGGGATCTTTCTACAAAGACACGTAAGCATGTGTTGATTTTCAATTAGAAGCATAGTCATTAGCACAATAGCAGCTGCTCTTTGCTCAAAAAATGCTAATCGGATTTTGACCTCATTCATGTTGAATGAAAAGTGTACAGTCGCATTCTTTTCTTGGATTTCTGAGCTCGACTGTCTGTCATTGTCGCTAAACGTTTCTGGAAAGAGTTGCCAATTAGCCTCGTTAGATCATTAGGCTGGACATGTGGTCTTCAGTTTCCATTTCACTTGGTTTTTCGAGATTTAAAGCTTCTATCAAAGTCCTTGCGTACCTTTGAAATCAACTCTCCTTTTTCTTGTCTTTTTCGTATTCAGCTTTCAATAAAAAGTATTCACAGACTGTCATTATTGATTTCTTGACTGTGTCGCTCTATATTAAACCGCCATCAAACGCTTTCTCAATATGCGATGTTCAGTACTGCTCTTATCATGTTCCTCAACGTCGCTAAAATCCACAAAGGCCTTTTTTGTACATTTGTATGCTAAGGTCTACTGTCTTGCCTCTTTATACTGAAGAGCAAACTTGCTTTGTGAAGTTTCATTTAAGTTTTCCTATCTTTGGTGTTGTGAAATATATTAACAGGTCTGAGAATTCGGTTTCATGTTATTAAAGCATGTTTTTACCCTACTATAAAGACAGGTGACACTATATCGCGATCTACCAGCTCTCTTCACATCAAAGCTCGGGTTTTGTGGTTGTTCGTAATGTTTTTGAGTACTGGTGTCTAGGTCGTGAGTTCCCACGCACACAGCTTCGTTAATATCCAGCCAATATACACTTACTCGTCCATTGAAAATTTTGCTTGGAAACATTCATTCCGTGTGTTAATTTGGTCAAGAAATGTCGACAGCTTCGTTTGATATGTTCTGGCAACATGTATGTATCTCTTTATTATAATATTTTGCTAACGTATTGTTAGCCTGTTACTTCTCTTTGTAGTTATAGGCATAAGCTTCCTTGCCCAATGTTACTGGTGTCCACAGACTACACATGCATCTTAATGTTACTTGTGTCCTTCCTGGAAGGCCACAGCTCGTTCTGGAGCATTTTGAGAAATTCTTTGCTTTGTCTCTTGAGAATATTGAGCATGTCCTTTTTACAATGCTAAAATCAGGTTCACCGGTATTTTCATCGCAGCCATTGCTCTTTCTGGCTCGGATTTATTTCATGAGCCAACATTCGCGCTTAAGTGCACATGATCCATCTCGTAGGTTAAGATTGGCTTTTTATTCAATTTGTTAGCATTGTGATATTTTTTGGGTGTATTAGGTAGCACCTTGGAACCCAAGAGACTGATATTTGCATTGGCTGTATTGCAGCAGCATGATGGACTGCCCTATACGATCTATTTGACTGTTTATACATCCATCCCTCCCCAAAACTGAATTCTCAGAGCAGTTTCAACCTTCTTACCCAATCAACAATTTTTTTGCTCCGTTTTATCAGTCAGCAGATCTATTGATCCTACTGACTAAAAATATCCTGATTTTGATTTATCGATAACTGGACGCAATACAAGTACATCGGAAAGTTTTGTCTGGTGTCAGCAAAAAGTAGTATGTTTGCTGGGAACTTTCTTTCTGCAAGTGTTTATGTTAGTGTGATAGCGTAATTTTCAAAAGTGCCTGCCTTTCTCGACTTTGTCTCTTCACCACTAGTTCTCCATTGGAGAAATCCGACTTTTCCTACACCTGAACGTGTTTCTTTGGTTACAGAAGTGCGAGCAATATTGAACGAGAATTGCATTTTCGGCTAAGTGGAGAAGCAGGTGTGAAGAAGGAAAAAAACCGATAACATGCTTACTTGTTCGTGCCATTAGCGTGAACATTTTGAATCTTGTTTGAATTGGAAAACCTATGCCACAACTACTTTGTAAACGAACATTTTTTAAGAAATTAGGAATTTCAAAAGACAAGCAAATACAGATAAGTTTCTAGTTGGATATATTCCTTGACGTAAGTAGAAGAGGTAGTTGTTCCACGTGATACTATTTGTCTTATCCCAAAAATTTTCTCTTCAATACCTGCTTTTCCTCGATTTGAATGAAATTTTTGAAGCTACTGCCATTGCCCAAGCTGAGGCAGCAAAAGAATAAAGCCAAAAAAGAAAAGAGTTCAAACCCACCTTACTGAAATACTAAAATCCTATCTTACTAGTCCCAGCGGGTTGTAATTCCATGTTCCATTCTTGACATTTATTTGCCAAATCAAACGTGACTCTGTCAAGGACATCTAGTGACTGGCTCATATCCTATAAATGTTTAAATATTTTCAAGTTCATGCCCTTAAGAATCTTAAAGAAGAAAAATAATCTGAAATTCACAGAGATCTATACATCTGTTTTGCATTACACTAATGTTTTAGAAGAAACCCGCTGAAAGAAACGAGTATTGGAAAATGAAAAAAATAAACCTTTAGTACTCCAAGCAGACAAATTAAGAAACACTCGGATTTTGAAAACAACCAGAGCTCCAAAATTTCATAATCTATTGATATGGTTGGTTGGTTTGCACAAAACTTTAGACACCGAATGGAAAATAAGCTTCCCTGACCTTAGTACGACATTAGAAAGGAAGTAAATCTTTTGATAGGAATGTCATGAGCATTTGAAGAAAGAATAAACGCATTGACGAGTTTCAATGTTTGCAGCTGCGAAAACCTTTCTCAAAAAGTTTCTATGGAAACTTACTGGCGTGAAGAATTGAATCTAAGAACCTAAAGTTAAAAGCAATGTCATCATTTTTTTAGAATTTCTTAACATAAAGGAGTATTGACATTTGCTGAATTGTTAAGAGTTCTCGACATTGACTTTTGTTTCTAAAGTAAATTAATGTATTTAATGAATGTAATGGAGATGAATGTGATGTAATGGCAAAGGGTATGAGATTTCGTTCGAAATAGCCAGGCACATAACATTTAAATACACAGAAACTCCCCAAAATCATTTTGGAGAAAGAAAATGCTCTTATTAAGATAAATTTGCTAGTGCCGATCCTAGGTCAAGTAGCATGCTTTTAGAAGCTGGCCTTGTATTTTTTATTGCTTGATTTGAATGCTTCCCGTTGCTGCCATCTTTCCCAAGAAACACCATCTATTTGCAGTGTATCTGGAAACCACACAGAAGTAATATTTTGTGCAAGAATCTATGTCATAACATACAGGTCACATTGCTAAAGGCTGTCATTAAATAAGATGTATCTAAAATACACCGCCGATTAGAGCTTTCATTTTTATATTTTATCATTGATATTTAAATCCTCGTTTTGTTTACGCTTCCCTAATTATAGTGCTAAGAATGTATGGTATATGTTTGCCTTAAGAGATTATCTTAAAATCATGCTTACAGAATTTTGCTGCCTAGCTGACCAAAATTTTGTCTGCAAGACTCGTGTTTGTAAACCAAATGGTTAGAATTGTAATAATTTATAAAACGCAACGTTAATTGTGGTGGGCGTTTTTTGTTAAGCAATAAATTGAAGAGGAGGTCGCATACTCGGGTTTGGGTCAAATCTGCTTGAAATGCGATTAGGTTATTTAAGTCACAGCCTGGAAATATTTTGAATCTAAAGAGAGGAATCTCCATTTTTGGAACTTTAATCTCCTGCGGACACCGATTAAACATTTTGACATCCCTATCTCTCTGCTAGGCCTTTTTCATTCTCTTTAAGTTTAAGAGTGTCTCATGTTGTTATCACATTGGAAAGTCTTTTTGTCGACTGGTATTTGCAAACAATATACAGTGGAATTGATGTTGGTCTTGCAATAATTTGTGCCAAATTAAGCTTGTTAATTCTACTTGAGGTTGACCTTCACAATGTATCTCTGTCCAACGAAGAAGGCACAATGTGACCCATCTTTTTTGGGAATTGCTGGGTAAATCATGAGATGAAAATTAGATCAATTGGCTAAATGTTGATTCGCACTATCAAACATAAAAAGACAATATGTTTTAATAGGAGGTTTTTAGCATTTGACACCACATTAGAGATTTCTTACCCAACATCAATATAATGAAAGAAAAGAAATTTTCAGATCAGTTCATATTTAGAAATATCGGTCAAAGCATGTTGTCTCTCTTAGGGTCCTGCATATCTAACGATGTGCGACGAAGTCTTCTGTTTTACACAGAGGTGATCGACTTCTTGGGATTGGGGCAAAGAAGCCCAAATCTCTGATCAATGTTAGCACAATAGAACAAGAAATAACATATTCGCATTGCTAGGCAACTTTCAAAAGACTTTTCATCAAAATGTTTTCGAATAGCAGATACACGTCTCTGCTTTCTCCCCCAGGCCATGAGGCTACTGGTTTTGCAGGTGAAGAAAAGAGACCCTTGATTGTTTTGTAATGATAAGCATAAATCATATATGTAACGACATATGTTTCTGAAGTAGCATCATTAATATTCAATGAAGGACAACGCCATATTCAAGCAAGTCAGCTAGTTTGCGGGATTGACACTTCAAATTGCAAGGGATGATTCTAGACATCTCAATCTCGTTGGATCTGCTTTTGAAAGAGGTGCATACATACAGCCAATGCATTTTAACTTGGTTACCAATCGACATTGGACAGATATAGGGAATGTTTACACTTATATCACATGTATTCTTTCGTTTTCATCATAGTTATTTTGGTTTGCGTTTTTGGTTTAGAAAGTAGCTCGTCGCTTTGTCAGGAATTCTTGAAATTGGCCTTAGTGCACTAAGCATTACAAGATTAGCCTTTTAAATGTTAATGTTGCACTATTATTACTTGGCAATAGAGGCTTAGTGGGTCGTCGCTTTGCTAAGGTGACCGTTTAATGTCTGTGTTACTATTCGCCTTGCTTTGTACACATGCTTGTTGTAACGGGCAAAGTTGTTCAGGTTTGTTCAGATTTATACGCCGTGCCTTTTACGTTAGCCCACTTGTTGGTAGATTTTATGTATCAGTATTTCATTGCGTCATAGTAAACCAAATTTTGTTTGAGTCAGGGGATACACTGTGAAGTATTCAATGTCGTTAGATGTTAAAGGATACTTGAATTATAGTAAATTTATTATTCGTTCAAAAGAAAAAGGTACTACGGGAATTCGTCTAGCTACTATATCTCAAATGCACCATGCTTATTTTTCAAGCAGCTTAGCCGTTGGTAACGTACCACCGTTGAAAATGCATAGTTTAGAAGTAACAATTTGTGATTTTCCTTTCTACCTTCCAGGCTAGGCCTCTCAAGGCAAGTCAACCGCCAAACTCAAGCGCAAATGGAGGATCGACAAGCCCGGTGCCTCCTGCTCCACGGACTGGGAAACTCCCTCCGATGTCCTCCGACTTGAATAAAAATCAAACAGAAGAAATCCTGAATGCCATCCTTCCACCAAGGTAATATTCGGCGGGAAAACTGCCCAGTTTTTTTTCATTCACTGTTGCTCGACATGTGTCATAGTTGGGCTAATCACAGTGCAGAACTCATATTTCCTCTCCGTTGAAATTTTTCTTTAAGAGTCAGAGACAAAAGGACTTACAATATTTGAAAATTCAATATGCTCCACAACCTCAGCTGATTACCTAAGATTTTACTAACAGGCTCTGGTCAATTGAAGCCGTTTTTATGAAAGGCAGCTCCTGTAAGCGTGATTTCAGAATCTAAACCTTTGTCCATTGGTTGCTTGTCTGATTTGCTTTAAATTGTTGCCTTGATATGGACGTGATGTTTCTGCTATTCGATATGCTGCAAAATAATTTTGCCTTTAATTACGTCTAATGTTAGTGATGATCTCTTTTGTAGAGAATGGACAGAAAATGGACAGTTGTGGATACAGCAGGTCTCAAGCACACCAGCAACTAGACTCGATGTTGTCAATCTTCAGGTAACTCTCATTTTTGCCAACTTTCACTTAAATGACTGCTAGTTAACATGACCTCTAAGGCTTTAATTGTAGGTAATGTCTAAAACCCGACATGTCGTTTAAAAGATACCTTCAAGGGATACATGAAACTTCGGCTCCAGTTCTTTGAGTACTTTTTATCTGGTTTGCAGAGCATCTTTCGTTATGGCTTTGGCTATTTGCCAGATATATTTATTTTTGTAGAAACTTTTGAGAAACACTTTTCACTTTTCATAGAAACGCAATCACTTTTTCATAGATATAAATGTATTATGCTCTGCTAAGCCATCTTACCCTCCATCTCCATCACAGGAGCAACTTGACATGCGTTTGCAGCAACGACAGGCAAGAGAAACTGGCATTTGCCCTGTGAGGAGAGAGCTGTATTCACAATGCTTCGGTTAGTATTCTTTGATTGATAAGAGATTCTTTGATAAGACATCACAAGAAAAACGTCAATTTTAGCAATCATGCCATTTTTCAATCCTTTCAGCACATTTATTCAGCCATACATCATAAGCATTGCATCCCAGGGCTCCGAGTGCCAATATCCTCGATAATTCGACCTTTCCACTCACGATACTAAAATCCTGCGGGATTCAACAGGCCTAGGAAGTCATTGTGCTTTCAAATCCAAGCTTGCACACCGTGCCCTTGTAATAAATCGTTTCTCCTACTTTATATTTCTGAGTCTTCCAGGTTTTCAACAAATGAACCTATTTTTATGTTTAAACGACTTTCTTTTAGACGAGCTGATCAGACAAGTTACAATCAACTGCGCCGAGAGAGGGTTGTTGTTGCTGCGTGTGAGAGATGAAATACGAATGACAATCGCTGCTTACCAGACTCTTTACGAGAGCAGGTAATCAACATCTAAAATGTGGATCTTCTCAAACTGACTTGTGCCACCTACAGCGGCCTCAACTCATGTTACCCATCTATCACATATATTGCTCATTTTAAGATTATCATTGCATCTTATTTCTTATCTTCTAAAGAGAAGTTTCCGGGTCATAGTGTTAAAGTATATAATTTTTTGAAATCATATTGTCTTCTGTTGAAAATTTGAAAAATCTAATTTCATGAATTTTTACTCTTGAATAACAGCGTTGCGTTTGGCATGCGAAAGGCTTTGCAGGCAGAGCAAGGAAAATCAGATATGGAGAAAAAGGTATTTGTATTTTGCACTCTAAAAAAATTCATCTTCAACGTTATCTATGATGAATGAGTATTCGTTTAAACCTTTTATCTATTGTCACTTAATTTTTTTCAAATAGATTTTCAAACAGACTTCAAACAAACAGACTTAAACGTTTATATGAAGTATTTTCTAAAATTCTTTACACATTAGGTAGTCGTTTTTTGAAAGGAAACTTTCAATCTAGAATCTCCTTTAAGGCAATCAACAGGTCTAAAGTGGCTTAAGCAAATCAAAATTGACCAATTATTACTACTACTACTCGCACGTTTATTGATTGGCCAATAATTGGTCAATTTACAGATGGCTAAAGCAACTTATTTACCCCCCCCCTCTTTCACATTGAAAATACGACCTAGCTGCTTCTAACATTGCCCAAGCAGTTACTTAACTGACTCCACCGGTTGCTTACCTTCTTCCAGCAGCTGCTTACCTTGCTCCAGCAGTTGCTTACCTTACTCCAGCAGTTCTATACCTTATACAAACAGTTGCTCGCCTTAATCTAGTAGTTGCTTACTTTGCTCCGACAGTTGCTAACCTTGCCTAAGCAGTTGTTAGAAGTAATTAACAGCTGAAATTTGTCCACTTACCCAGATACAAGAGCTAGAGGATGACAAGAAGGACTTAGAACGACAAGTGAATGAACTGAAAGCCAAATGCGAGGCTATCGAGAAAAGAGAGGCTGAGAGACGCGCAATTGAGGAGAAAAAACACGCCGAAGAGATACAGTTTTTGAAGAGAACCAACCAGCAACTCAAAGTGAGTGTTTACTGCTCTTCTGTTTGCTGTTTAATGTTTTGTCAATTTTTCGCTGGTAAATCTAGTGGTTTTTAGATAAAATGATTCAATTTTAATCTGTTATCAAACTTCCATAGAGTTTTCGAATATTTTCAGTTTCAAATTCCTCAAATGAAAACATTTTGCGTTAGCCCTTACTTACATCTGAACACAAAAAGATTACCAGCAAAATTCTTGAGGTTAATCAAGTGAGCATACCGTCATGATGACGTCAATACAGCATTAGGTTCTTAAGTCCCCTGAGAACTAGTCTCGCAATTTTTAAACAATCTCTTTAATCAAATGCTGAAGTTGCCCTGTGTTTTTTCAAACACAGCAAATATGGATAATAATCATAGCTGCTTTTAACTATTTTCAGAACGTTCATGCTTTCCTAACGTTCTTGCCTGCCGTTGAGATGTTTTCAACCAAACGATTCTACTATACCTTACTTTAGTACCTTACTTTATTACCTTAGTTTACTGCTTACTTTAGTACCTTATTTTGTACCTTCCACAAGTACCTTACTTTTTTCCCTACTTTGGTACTATAGCATTAACGTTGTTTTTTCTTCCCTAGACCCAGCTGGAAGGTATAATTGCACCAACCAAAAAGTAAGACTGAAGTACTCCATCTTAAGAAAAATCATTTTTTCCCAGTCTCGTCGTTTAAAGTTGAGGTTTTGCTAATGTAAATTTTGCTCAGATATTGGACTATTTTAACCAAGATGTTTTCTTTTCTCTGTCACCGTCTTTGAAAACCTTTTAACCATACTTTAGATTTATTTTATCTAACTTTCATATAGGTGTAACAATGCTTGATGGTTGTCAAGAAAGCCACATAAAGGCTTACTTAATTCTTTAGGCCATTGACTTTTTCGCTGGATTGAGCTATTTTTATGATATTTAGTAAAAAGATGCTTCATGTTTATCAAATATTCCAGACATTGTTGTATTATATCAAATCATTTGTGTATGTCACCTTAATAATCATCAAACAGAGTAAAATTAGTTTTCTTTGTGTCCGCGTGTCCACACACTATTCTACAAACTATAATAACAGTTGAATGTGGCACATCTTCTGTTCCTCATTTTTATTTCATAAAGAACTTGAGGGAGATTTGAGCCAAATTCCAGTTATGGTATCAGTTCTTGTCGCAGACACTGGCTACCGTATGCTTGTTAACTAAGCTCTTTATTCGCATGGTTTGTTCTTGTTACGTCTAGCTTCATGACCATTGATTTTGCTTGCTATCGTGTATATGGGAAGTCTTCACATGTAACTGTTCTTTAACTGTATGCTTGGTCTCGTCTTAAAACTGTACCAAACCCTATTTGCATAGTTTTCACGAAGAAGTATTCGATATGGCCATGCTTTGAATGCTTTCCTCTTGCCTCCAAGAACCTTTGTTTCATAGTTAAGCAATGTCGCTATGATAAGCCTATTTTTATTCGATAATATAATGAGCGTATAAATTAAGTACCAACATGAAATAGACTGTTAAATACAGGACGTTTCGGGCATGTACTCTTTACACGCAACTTACACAGTCTATCTTTATACAATATCAATCACAATAAACTTGACAGCTTTCAACAGAAGCCATCTTTGTTGTTGATGAATGCCTTCCTGCAGATCTTTTCACACAACTTATATACAAATAAAGTTTTTCGTGATGTTGCAGTGAAAAAAATACACTTTTTCGCACTGGAAGCACTTTCTAATATACTCAGAAAGTATAGGTTTGAATCTTGTTAGTAAAGATTCGATCAGGCGAAATCTTCTATAGAATGTATCGATTGTTGAGAATCTCAGGTATTATCTTTTGGCACCTGGAGCTTTTCATTTTTCTTTCTCAAATAATTCTACAAAACACATATTAAGTTGTATAATTGTGAATAGTTCAAGTCAAAGCAAAACCTTTCCTTTCAACTTAAGACACCTACGTCCGTCATTCGATGGATATAAATCGACAGTTGATATCATCATACCTTACGTCATTGATGTCATTTTGACTTAGGCAAATAAATGAATTGCAGTAAATCTTTTAGTCGAAAGATGCAAGGAATGGATGTAAACGTGACGGGTTAAACGGCCAACAGATATGAGTTTCCTAGATTTTTCAGATAAAGCCCTACTGATTGGCTTTCTGGAATCTTGCACGTGGCTCTTCACGCGTCCTCTTCCTTGGTCACTTCATTTCATTCTTAGTCACACTCCAGTGTCAATGTCCGTAAGCTTTCTATTGAAATCAACTCTAAAATATAGTCGTCATTATTAATCTGTGTATAGAAATTTGAGCTGAAATATTCTTCACGCCATGTTTAGTGAAAAGCAAAGGAGAACCGGCAGAAGTGTCAATGTCTTTGCCTGCTAGTTGTTGTTGAATTTATTACTGTTGAACACTTATAGCAAGTACTTAACATAACTGATAGCTCACCAGCTTGGACAATCGTCAGCTCTTTTTATTCACACATCTATGTGACAATACATTCCCCATTTTCCCTCTTGCTAGAGGCAGGTTTGATATTACAAGGGATCTGTAGAGTTTCCCATGCAGTAATCTTATATTTTATCAATTTTTTATCAGTGTCAAGTTATTTTGTTAACACGAAAAATGTCTCATTTTTTAGTCTTTAATTGTAAACCGGGTAGGTCTAAAAAGAATTTTAAAATTTGAATTTTTCTTAAGAGTGTTATTTGATGCGTCTCTGATGAAATAAGTGAATGCTTTTTGCTTAGAAATGCATTCCATTCAGACTTTGCCTTTAATTTGTTTGTTTCAGCATTCATTAAGAATGCTTAGACTTGCTGTCTTGAGAACAAACTTTTATTTATGTTGCCTTAAGATAAACTGTCTGAATCAGACTATAAAAAGAAGATTTATTTTGGGAATCATTATTTCTAATTAAGAAATTAAACCACAGAATCACCAACAATTAGCTTGAGAAATTTTAGGCAAAGCTAGCTAAGATGATGTTTCTATTTTCCAGGAATATGTTTTCGAAGGAATCAATAATTCCCCTTTGATTATTTGTATTTTTTATATAAATCACATTTATTAATAATTTCAGCAGATTTGATTTCAAGACAGAGAGTGACCCGGGCCACCTATGTTGATGTTGAAAACAATTCATCTAGACTTAAATTTGTTTCCAGCATCTAGACGAGGTCAAAATTCAATCTATCGAATTTACGGAACAAATTTGAAAGTTTATGGCATTGCTATTTTAAGTTTAAATATTGGACTGCTGGGTCATGGTGGTTTTTAGAATACTTACTCAAAATGTTAATTTGATAACACGAAATCTTGATTTTAAGGCTATTAACGGAGATATTTGTTTATTTTAAGAAATTATTCTTGTTTTATTAATCTCTGTGAAGAACAGGAATGAGGAATTGCGTATCTGGAGGTCGCACGCATGTTGCCTATGTTACTGTGCCTTCAGCTGATGTTTGAGGTTGTTTCTTGGGTCAGATGTACCTCAAATCTCATATCTTTAAATAAATCCCAATTGAATAAATGAATACCTTTTTTTGGATTTGTTATTTTCATCTGTATTTGATAAACAAACTGCAACAGGATCTAGATTTTGGTTATGGTTTTATCCGATATCTTCTTTCGCTTGGGATAATACTTTTCTTTGTATTCATTGAAACTGCAAACACACAAGCGTTATTTCATATACAGTATGAAAATGTACACTTTTTGGCCAAAGTCAAAATGAATTTATTTATTGATATAAAAAAGATTTTCCTTCTTTTAACAAACTCAATGCTTGTAACAGGCATTCTCAATTTCATGTCTATAATTATATTCTTTCTCAACATTAAGGTTTTCAAATATGTATTGCTTGCTCAAAATTCTATTGCATGCTACGGATTTGCGTTGAGAATACAAAAAAAGGCGAGCTTCGTTTTTTAAAGAGAATATCTTTCGTAGTCCTACGTTCTGCGCCCATTGATAAAACTAAAGCCCGCGCGAAGGAGAGCAAAGACGGATCGCAACGGAAAGTAAAGTCTGCACGCAGGCTTATTCAACTAGAATTCGACCTTAAAACTTGATTTGTCTTTCCGTTAGACTGAAAACACATAACGAAAGGCACTTTTGCTGTGAAAATTTTATATTTCTATAGTATGCATGTGCCAGTTTAAATACCGATTTTGTTTTAAAGCAATTCAATTCAGATCACCCATTTTGCATTCAGATAATTGAAATATTTTTTCTCACTTGTAAAACGAGAGTGTTCTTCAACTGCCAACAGGCTTTTTTTAAAGAACCCTCATCTCGTGAGTTTATCCGTAGATCGCTGAGGTCCAGGGCACTCCAAGAAATGAAAAAGCTTTGCCTCCAAGATTGGATTTAAATATCATTAATGATGGCCTTGATTTTTTTGCAATCTTAAAATATCTTTTATCATTAGATGTGTATGGAATCAAGGTGTAGTAGCCGTATTTCTGATCATATCAAAACCCACATCTCTCAATGCTCAAATTCAAATCTATTTTAAAACAACCGTGAATCGGTTTGCCATGAAATGTAACCCTGTTAACATAAAAGAATTACGCTAAAGATCATTGAGGATTTCAGCTTGAAAACCATTCATAAATTAACTCTATTTCTACATTCAATTACAATAATGTTTTGTTGGTCTGCGTTCTCAATTGAAAATACTTCGATTTTGTGCCATAAATTAGATTTTTATAGAACACGTCTTCTTGCTGAATCGATCGAGTTAAAATCATGTCACAACACTTGCCAAGGCTTTGAGAATTTTGCTTTTGAGTAATAGCTGGAAAGCCCTCAAATTAGGTTTTGGAAAAAACCGGATTTCTTTATCGTTTGTTAAATGTAATTAGATATTCAATTGAAAATTGCCGTTCTAAGTCTTAGAGCTTCCCATTTTAGAATTCTTTCTATATTGTATGTTTAAATGTTCTGATAGTGGTTGCAGTATCTAGGGTCAGCCTGTCTTTTTAGTGACTTTGAAACATCTAGAGGTTAAACGAAGAAGCAAAATCACAGAGGAAAAGGGAAAGAAAAAGAGGTGTTAGCAGAGAAAGTCGTACATAGACAGTAGTATGCATGACTGGGTACATGTAGAGAGAGTTGTTTGATGAAAGAGGGTTAGTATGAATGAAGAGGGACATTATCGAAGGGATGTAACAGCAAAGTGTAGTAGAAATATGAACACAAAGGAACACTGACAGAGACGAGCATTAATAAGTAGAGAGTGAGAAAAGCAGAACAAGGAAAAAGATTATAAAGATAATATTGTGAGCATGGTCAGCAGATTGGATAAGGCGTGTTGCTCGTCTCTTGTCCGGTTGCTACATCCTTAAATTCTTTGAACGATTGTGACAAATGGTTTCTTACCAAGTACTCTATCAACTCGTATGCTTTCATGATTCTGCTTGACACTTGCCTAATCGATTCCTACGTATTACCACTCGGAAACCCTGTAATCTAGCTCTTCATATTCGCATTAACACAGAGGCCTTAATCATGTGTTTCTTCTTCGGTTTGATATGATTCCTCAGCTTCATAAATGTTCAGGAAATCTTTGATAAGTAGATCAAAAATAACTCTGTCGTATTGGTGGTCCGTTGTAAAAGGCACTTCACCAAGTTTACTTTTACACAACACGATAACAAAGTCTAATAAAGCTGGTGCAAATGTATTTCTACAATTAATGTTAAATCTCACTTCACTAACGCATTTTACC